TGACTCTTGAGTTATAATAAGAAAAAAAAATATGCAGTTTGTAACTCTTTGGAAAAGATTCCAAAACTGCATATTTCAATTTCGATAGAAAAAAAACAAACTCCAAAAATTGCGTACTTCAAACTTTAACCATTGGAAAAATACATAGCACGAGAGGGCTATTCAAAGTAAACGTTACTGTTAAAGTTTACGGGGATAAGGAGGATGGATAATTAAATTAGCATAAGAAAAAATGAGGCCATGGATCTATAAAGAAAACTCCAAAATATTATCCAACGAATCAGTATGAAATCTTGATTTTTGATTACTCCAGTTATTTAAAGAGAACAAACTTCGGATAATCATCGACGTAACACTTTGTATTCCTTCATATCATCAGTGATTTTGACATAATTATACCGTTAAATATTTCGGAAGTGTTTTAACAGAAAGTGCGACATTGAAATCAGAAGACGCATTGGGATAGCGAAAGATGCCTTACAAAAGTTAAGCAATGTATTAAAAAACGGAATAATTTCGCTAAAAACAGAGAAAAGAGTACTGATATGTTATTTAATCTCTGTTCTCTTATATGGCAGTGAATGCTGGACATTCTCCTCACAGATCAAGAAGAGACTCGAAGCAACCAAAATGTGGTTCTACAGAAGGATGCTGAGCATGCTATGGACTGAACGTGAGAACAACGACGAAGTCTTAGAGAAAATGGAAACAAAAAGAACACGTATATTTAACATCAGAAAGAGGCAGTAGAAATTTCTAGGGTACACAATAAGTTCTTGGAGAATATGAACATCACGGGACTGATTGGAAATTAAAGGGACAGAAGAAAATAGGATCAATAACATTGTAGTTTCATCGATTTTTTTTAATAAAAAAATCTCTAAGTAGAAGCACCAGACCAGATATGATAGCAATATTCAAAGCCCGATCGAATGGTAGACTTATAAATAGGTGAGATATATTCAGGAAAAAAAATTGTCTAGTATAACACAATGATCCAACTTTCTTAGCGTCAGAGCTAGCAATGGATTCAATATAAATTTTCCATTTCATGTCGGTCGAGAAAGAAATTAGAAAACTTAAACAAAAGAAATAAGTAAAAGAAAATAAAATGCTTAGTTAATATCTACATTTTTAGGCGCGACCTTTCAGTAGAAATACAATGATAAAGTTCAAATCCTTTCGTCATACTTCGAAAATCTGATGTTATAAGACCCGATTAATCGGTCTCGTAGCGCGCGAGCACACATACGCAAAATATAGAAGACGAAGTTTCAAATAGACCAGCCAGGATGATTATTCTTTTCGGGAGAAATATCTACTAGTAACTTTATTTCAGCCACCCCTTTTATTAAGTATTCACGAAATTCCCTCTCACCCGTTAATTTAGGCTGCGACCATTTTCGGACAAAACATTTCATACTTGAATATTATACAAAATAAATATCTGAAAATTTCAGCCAGCCCTTTTATTCCAACCACCCCGTCTATTTGAAACTCGAGTATCGGTAGAGATTTTATTCTTTTCAAGTCCTGTATTTCATTTCAGTATTGAAAGGTCTAAACCATATCGACTGTCAGATGTTAACAAAGCAAGACTGCTATTTAAAAGAGGTAAATTGATGTATGAATAATTTGCTTTGTGCGGGTCAAGCTCTGTTAATTACAGGAATGAAGAGTGTGTTTGATTTGTGGTGAATTCTAATCTCTCTGTTACGCCCTGATTATGATAGCACTGTTACTAAAACGGTCAAAGCCTGTAAAAAGTTGTTTTTTAATAGACGATCTTAACAAATCCTCTCTACGACTTTCATTTAATCTTATCAAATTATCCATTCTGCATTTCTTTTCAACGTTTCCCTGTTTTTTTTTATTCTTGATTATATCCATATTTAATTTAATTAAATATTTAATTAAATATTTAAATTAGTTTAATTTGCAGTCTTATTCTTTACCAGCCGAGAAGCAGCCCTTCGGGCGGACTTTATGCTAGCTCCTGCGCAGGTCTTTTGGGACTTCAGCCTTTTACCTTCAGCGTCCTATGTACATAAAAATTATAAGAATTTAGAAATGATAAAATTATTTTATCTTTATTCGACACCTTAATTCGGCATAATCTTTCTTCGTATACACAACCGATCTCCGTAATTTGTTTACATTTATTTTGCGCGCAATGCTTATTTTCTTTTAAAATCTCCATTCTTTCTTATTTCCTTCGCTACTCCTGTATATTTATATTGGCTATAGCTCTTAATTTTTCTTAAGTACTACTTAAGATTTTTCTTTTTCTAAAGCCATATCTTCCTGGCATCAGTTTAAATAGTGATTCGCAGCCTTCACTAGTGTTCCGCGAAATACAGTATACATACAGGTAGGTATACAATTGTTTAATTATATACTGACGTGACTTTTTATTTTTTATTTTGTTTTTTATTTTTTTACGTGCTAGTAGCCAGAGATAACTTCGCCGGACTGTTAATTCAATGAAATGGGGCAGCTCCTCCTCATGTTTTAGCCGTAAGCGACTACTTTGATCAAACCTTCTCACGACATTGGATCGGACGACATGGCAACATTGAATGGCGACCACTAGTTAACACCCGTGTTAACACCAATGGACTTCTTTTTAGAGGGCGTAGTAAAGAATAAGGTTTTACGAGAAAAATCTTCATACAGTAGACGAATTAAAAGAGTTCATCTTGGAAGCATTTATTGACACTGATGCTGATCGGAATTTATATTTTACTGTGTCAAAGTGTGTTCTGGAGAGGTTCGAGGAATGTTGCAAGGTTGAAAGAGGACATTTCGAGCACTTACGAGATTAAACAGGGTTAAGCAAATGTAATTGTAATAAATATAAATGTTATAAAATGTAAACAAAAAACAACTTTAAAGTGTATAGCTACTTTTGGCCCACCATGAATGCGTGTGTGGAAGTAGTAATGCTATAGAATTAGTTAAGTATTTGAATAAATGAATAAGTATTAAACTTTTTCAAATAATTCTTTTCACGATTCAACCATTATCCTATTTTAAATACTTTGTTTTAATATTCATTTTTTCAAAAGTATTTTTATTTTTTTCAGTTAAGTTTTTAAAATTTTCCTTTATTTGAATAAATGAATATTAACTTTTTTTTTGTAATCTGTATTCTTTGTTTAATTCAAAATTTATAGTTTTATTTCATAATGTTTTAAATGTATACCATTTAACATTTTTGCGAAGTATGTGATATTTTCATTAGCTCCTGTGTGCCGTTGCTTAAAAAGGTTACGAAACAATGATTTAAACTGACGAAAAAGGTTAAAAAGGTTACGAAACAATGATTTAAACTGACGAAAAAGGTTAAAAAGGTTACGAAACAATGATTTAAACTGACGCTTTTTTTTTTCCATATATTGAAATATCCTTAAAGTTCGTTTTTGTTTTTCATGATGTGAAAATAAGTAGATAGTTTCACACTTCTCCCCTGTCTTTTTGGACAGGAATAAAGGTTTATCCCTTGTTTCCTGTTTAGGATTGGCCTTCTGGTTCATTCCAAAGCCTTCTCTTTCACTCACAGTAGCACCTTGCCCCTTTTTGCGGGGTGGGGTGAATTGATTAAAAACAAAAAAACGTTGGACATTTTTCAACATTTTTCATTGAAATTTTCACTTTTCAAAATTATAGTTAATTATATTTTAGATTTATGGAAAAAAGGCGTCAGTTTTAAGGATACGAGTTAAACTGAAGTCTTCTTTTTTTCATATATTTCGACAATTTTGTTTAAAGTTAATATTTTCTTGATTTCAGTTGAAAAGTTGGAAACTTTCTAGCATATTTCTGTGAAATTGGATCTTTTCTGTTAATTCACTCCAAAACATTAATTCAACCCAAAATAAAAAAAACAAAAACAAACTTATATTTACTAAAATTCACAACAAATTCTCCCAGAGCGTGGGCCTTCCATTGCACTCCGATTTGGGTTGACCTTTGTGATCGCCCCAAATGTAGGCGACTCGGGTGCGCTATTTCTAAGTATGGGGGTGGGGGTCTGTATTCGTACTCACCCCGATAAAGCAGCCAAAAACAGATTCTTTTTTTTCTTATTTATTTTAAATTGTAAAAAAGTCCTTGTAACTACCCCGAATATCATCTGCATTTACGAAAGATATATAACTTCAAGATTTTTGGTAATTTTTCATTCTGAAGGTTGGAGTTTTTGCGAGGCAAGCTAAAATAATTTTGATTTAAAATTTATAATTTCAAAAGAGTACCAAAAATTTAGTAAAGAAAAAAAGAAAAAAAGAAAAAAGAAAGCCTCATTTTAAGCTGACGCCTGACGGATACGGGTTAATTTCACCCGATTTCCTGCTTTTAAAATTTGTTCTTGCGTTCCGTTGTTTTTTTGGGGTTTTTTTTTTTTTTTTTGCATAGTTTCTATCTTCACTATTTCTTTTCCTTTGTGTTTCTTCTTTATTTCCTTACATACCTAATATTCGATTATCTTGGTTTTCTTTTCCGCTATCATTTTTCTTTATTGAACTTTTTTCCGTTTCATTTTTTCCCTATATTTTTCCTTCGACACTTCTGTCTCTTCACGCGTTCCACAGAATGTAAACTTTCACTCGCATAATGAGACCGGCTGAACTGACTGAGGTACAAACACACACGAACGCATGCGCACAGAATCGTCGACTCAAACAATAATCATCGATTGTTATTCTTCTCTTGGCTCTTCTTAACCACCAATTATTACGGTTATCGATCTATTGACTCCTGATTGATCCGCATACGTACACATAATGGCGGCCGTTCAAACACACAGACATCGATAAACATATATGTAAACACTATGGTGCAGTGATGTGAACGCTTGAGCAAACATACATCATTTATCGTTTGTTTTGTTTCATTTTCTTCGTTTTTGCTTGCTCTTTTGCGACTCCCCCTTTTTTTTTTTTTTTTTTTTATTGCGCATTGCTTTCTTTCTTTTGCGATAATTCTCTTTCTATCAAGGCTTACGGCCACATCCCGTTGAAACATCTGTTCCCGTACGATCACCAAAGATAAGCAACGTCGAGCCTGGTCAGTACTTAGACGGGTGACCGCTTTGAAATATCACGTGCTGTAAGCTTGGATGTGCGATCGGTGTAATGGATAATAACTCGGAATTGTTAATCAGAGGGTCGAGTTCCAATTACCACTGGCTTCTTTATATTCACTTACGCGCAAATACCCTTGGTAAAAGTTATGAATCCACCTCTTCTCTCCCCAGCTATGGGTTAATTAGTAATACTTGTATCACTAAACCATTATCATCGAAAAAATAAATAAAAAGAAAAAATCTTACAATCTAAATATATTTTCTGACTTTAAATAACCTGCAAAGTGGTGATGAGCTGTAAAAATTCGAATAAATCTTTTTACCAGTGGTTTTCCTTTTCTTTCTTCCTTCTGTCTTTTTTTCTGCATTTCCGGCGATAAACCTAAAAGAAGAAAAATAGTTGAAACCAGACGCACATCATTGCACAAATGCAAATACAGTTCGGAATAAAACAGCCCTAAATTTGGCTCTTCGTTTCAGACTGTTAAAGCTTGTTACCATACAATCACCTTGTAAAAATTTTGTTCTCCAAATTATTTTTAAAATGTAGAATTACTCACACGATCTTGCGCAGAAAAGTACTTTTCTGCTAAAATAGATATAGCTTCAGAATGTCAATGAGATATTAGTTATTATTGATCAGCACCTCAGTAATTTATAGAGATTCTTACCTCTGCATAAAACTGATTCAAATAGAAGCAGATCTGTCAAGGAGTAAGTATAAACAAAGAAAGGGACACGCAATATGCATTAACTAGCAATGGGGAAGAAACCAACAAACTTGGGGTTAGAATGTTCCCCAATAATTTTGCTTCGTTCTAAGTATATTGTAGATGGCTGCGAAAGACAAATATGAACAAAAAACAATAATGTCTAAGGGAAATTAAAAATATTGAGCTAGACAATTTATCTCGCCAGAATCTATCTTACGTATTTATAAGTCTACCATTCGCTCGGTCTTTGAAGATTGCTGTCATATCTGGTCTGGTGCTTCTCCTCAGAGATTTTTGATAAAATAAATCGAAGAAACTGCAATGTTATTGATCCTGACCTAGCATCTCGGCTTCAGCCATTTTTCCACCGCCGTACGGTAATGTCGCGGTCGCCTTTGGCCGCTCCCTAAAGCGAAAGAGAATAGGGCTTTTCGACGTTGACCTTTTGATCGCTTTCCCTACACATTGGTAATTTAGTTTTAGAATTGAGCTAATTACCTTTTAGTTCGTTGGTATTACGAACCTAGTCGTAATACACCTTAGCGTTTTTAGACGTTTGTTTTTCGTAGAGAATCTCAACTTATGTTTTGAAAGATTTTTTAGCATTTTTGCGAGACCGTGTCTGTGGTTGTGTCTTCCTTAACATAACACAGCGACTTCACACCGAATTCACGGTCGGCACCCAGGCGTCTGAACAGTCGGTACCCAGGCGTCTGAACGGTCAGTACACAGGCTCCTGGCCTTTGTGGCCAGGACGCCAACTCGGGCTGCGTATTGTTACGCTTCCATTTTTTTGTCTCCCAACTGGACGCGAGTTGGATCTTTACTCCGCCTTCTTACTTCAGGCTCCCCGCCCATGTTCGACTCTCGGGATTCCGTCTCTACTGGCTGCCCGCACGTCGTGCGTAACCTTTCCCGTAAACTACGTTTATGATTACTACGGGAGGTTTCGATATCGGACTCCACCAGCAGACACGCAACGCCAGCACTGGACATTCGACATGCCCAACAACATCGTAACGCAAGCTTCCCGGCGCTGACTAACTACCGTCGCCAATACCGAGCACTGCATTGCAACACCAGCTCCCCGTTCCCGCCCGACACGTCCACTCCGAAACCAGACCAGCTAACCAGCAGTGATCATCTGCAACGACTAACCTTACCCGTATACTATCGGTTGTAATTACAACGGGATGTTTCGACACCGACCTCGACCAGCAATGCCTGCACTGCAACGTCTAACTGTCGACACGACCGGAACGAACGCACCTCAGCATCCCGTCATCGACCTCAATGTCCAACCGTCGACTCGACCGGAACGTCCGCAATCTCTTTCCAACCGTCGACACGACCGGAACGTCTGCACCTCGACTCCAACCATCGACACAACCAATCCAACCCTCGACACGACCAGTCCGACTACCATTACAACGATCGCCAGACCAATATACCCCATCGTCTCTTCTTCATAAAATAAACTTAGCATTAATCATACATATCCTCGTTCTGTTGTCCATTTTGTTTCACCTTGTCAGATTTCACGCCTTTAATACGAAAAACGTTAGCGGGCCTCTTGTGACCTTCATCACCTGCGATAAGGAGGCGCTCGGATCGTGGTTTCATATCGCCCCCCACCCTCCAGGGGGTCCTCAACAGTAACTTCCCTGCATTTTTTCGACAAATATTTTCACGGTAATTATTCTGATGAACTTTCCTCTTTGGTACCTAGACTTTAATTCTGTGTTTATTTGAAATTCATTTTCTATTGCTTAATAACAGAACTACTTACAGTGCTCTAAAAAATGAAGGAATTTTATTTTATTTTTAAATGTATTTTTATTTCTTAAACGTAAAGATCTTGAGTATTTCGCATTCTATTCCTGACCTTCCTTTCTTTTTCTGGGGGTCGGACGTAGAAACGTACTTCCCCGTCGAGCATAAATATGGACTCTATATGTTTCTGAGATGTTAGCTGATTAGCACCTGTGTAAGCTGTAGATTCATACATGTGCATAAAATTGATTATATTCAAATAGATTTGCATACAAGTGCGTATATAAAGGATTGGGAGTATGAACAAAGAAAGAAAAACAACGATGGGAGATGAATTAACAAACTTGGTTTAATAGTGTTCCCAAGGACGTTAGTTTAAAATACTGCAAACACATAGTAAATAATAGCTGCGAAATGCAAACAAGAAGGAATGTTATTTGTCTAGAAATAGAAATGTCGTTCGTACGGACTTCAGAAAAGTAAAGAGACACAAGAGAAAATGGCGCCAGAACAAAAATGAATAGGAATAACTTTATGGAATACTTAAGTGTCATGCAATTTTCTCTGTTGAATGATAATTAGAAAGCCAATAAAGAAAGCGACATAATGACACTTAACTCGCATTGCAGGGGGCAAGTTTTATTCAGATAAGCAAATCTTTGCTGGTTCTTTCTTTCCGCATGTTTTCGTCTAATGCCATCATCTACATAACAGATCCCATTAATTATCTGATGAACAATAAAAATTCTTTCTAGATCCCCAAAATGAAACCTATTATACCCAGGTTGATCTTCTTTTGATGCCCGTGTCAGTAACAGCCTGTATTGCAGTTTCTCAATATGTTTACCCGCGTTCTGTCACCACATCAGAAAAGACTGAATTGAACAACACATTTCTTCCAGGTAACGATTAAGTGTGGCGTTGGATAATGCGCGACTCCGATTTAGAATCATCTCTCGACAATCTACCTCTTGCCCTGATTTGGATTCCTTAGATATGGAGAAAAAGTCTGCTGGAAGTTAAACAGCTATTATGTAATTTCTAAGACGAGGAACCTCATCTATGCCGTTATTATCACAACGTTTCGGTTGTTGTTACCTCTAGTCCTCTTCAGGTATTTGTCGATCTGTATAACGTTCAGGTAATTTCGAAATGAACCCTTTATTTAATCTTTGGGTTTTAGATTGTTCTCATCTTTCCTTGTCTCTTGGTGTAATGGATAGCGGCTCGGGATGAGAAATCGGAGAGCAGAGTTCGAATCCCAGTCGAGTTCATTACATTCACTTACGCATCATAACTGTTGGGAAAGCTATGAATCTACCCCCCAGCTATGGATTAAATAGTAGAAATGTTTCTGGAAAAGACATTCTAAAAAAACTTTTAATACAATACTTACTCGCAAAAAAGGGAACTATTCTTACAATCAAAAATATATCTCAGCTGTAAATAGCCCACAAAGCGTTGATAAACCGTAAAAAAGCAACTCAGTCAAGTAAATCCATGTCTACTCTTGTCTTGTTATTTCTTTTTAAATATATATTATCCCTGTTTCCACTGAATTTAAGTCTGTATTACCCGACCCAGGGATTGAACTCAAAATTAAGTTAGATTAAACAAGATTTCAGTTCGAAATTCAAATTCACCTGAAGAAGAATGGGGCGTACAATGGCCGAAACCTCGTGAATATGGCAACGAAAATGAGGACAACAGTCCGAACAATGTAAATAGTGTAAATAATTAAATAAAAAGTTTAGTTCGAAATTCCCTAAAAATTGCTCGGAGCGACAAACGACTGAAGAAGGTCGGAGAGCACTGCTGAAACCTTGTAATAATAACAGTGAAGATACGGTAAATAAAATAAATAACCTGTTATGTATTACTTTTCTCTAACATTGGGCATAGTCAATATCTGCTTGCCATATTTGTAAAATATCGATGTATTTATTGAATTTTATGGAAGTTATTGACATCAAGATGCTAACTTTATGCTGAAGAGTAACGTGTCACTGAGTGCAACATATCAGTTGGATGGCGAATGGATGGAGAGATATTTGTCCATTATTGAAAGCGTCATTCTCTAGTCAATCAGACAAGTCCACGGGTTATATTAATTGAGGAAGAAGAAAAAACAAGGTTTATGCCTAGAGATATTTACAATTTTTCTTCACTCGTACCACCCAGTTCTGTTGAAATGCCGGTTCTTAACAGATTGTCGGAGTTAAGCAACGCTTTACCTGGCTACAACAAAATAAGAGTCTATCTAAGGGTTCCATGGACTTTAAAGGAACCCAAAATAATAATAGCGAATTATTGTGGAATTATTTTCTGACATAATTTTACTATGGAAATTGAATATTCCGCCAATAATATTCTTCGATGGGGAATGACATCGACGAGAGATAGATCATCCACTCCTAATCTAGCTGAAAATGACTGGGGCAAGCAAAGAGAAAAAGAAAATAAGAAAGGCATGTTTATTTATATCACCGTAATAAGCACACTGAAACAGACGTCAACAAACAAATTTTATATACGAGGTTTA